GGAAGGAAGGAAGGAAGGAAGGAAGGAAGGAAGGAAGGAAGGAAGGAAGGAAGGAAGGAAGGAAGGAAGGAAGGAAGGAAGGAAGGAAGGAAGGAAGGAGGTTATGAGAGACTGGAACAAAGAAGTGAGAAGATTAAGGAAAAGCAACTATGACCAGTAGTCAAAAATAGCCCACACTTTTGGGGTGTTAAGCAAAGACAAAGGAAAGAAGGGGCCGGGCTAAGAGTGAGAGACAGAGGGTCTTAAGTATAATCCTCTCAAAACTATGAATGTCCACATTATTCTGTGGTCAAAAAAAATCCAAAACTGTGAAATGCCCTGACAAAATGTGCTTTGTTTCTCCAGTGAGTGTCACTTCTGAAGGATTCCAACCTACGGCGACGATTGGTGAATCCCGAGGAAGCTCTCGGGCTGCGTGTGGCAATCTAGGTTCTCACCCTGCTCTGAACCACTCGGACTTGGTGGAGCTGTACCTCAAGGAACTCTGACAGGGGCAGGGCTGTTCAGCCTCTTAGAAAACAACAAGCGCTTGAAAAGAACGGTGGATTTGGAAAGCGGGAATTCCGCACATCAGGAAACGCTAGGTTTGCTGCCCACAGGACCTTAGTCCTCCTCGCTGGGTTTATCCGCAGAGTTATTCTTTTAAGCAGTCTGCGATTGCACAACCGTGCAAGCTTTCTCACAGGGCGCTTGTTGCACAGAGCGCAGGAGCGCGCCGGGCTCAGGAACCAGCTCCTGGGCTCAGGAACCATCTCCGGGTGCCCGCCAGCACCGCAGGCTGGGCTCAGGAACCGGCTCCTGGGCTAAGGAACTGTCTCCGGGTGCCCACCGGCACCGCGGGCCGGACTCAGGAAATGGGTCCTGGGCTCAGGAACCGTCTCCTGGGCTCGGGAACCGGCTCTGGGCGCCCGCCAGCACCGCGGGCCGGGCTCAGGAAATGGGTCCTGGGCTCAGGAACCGGCTCCTGGGCTCAGGAACCGGCTCTGGGCGCCCGCCGGCACTGCGGACTGGGCTCAGGAAATGGGTCCTGGGCTCGGGAACCGGCTCCAGGCGCCCACCAGCACCGCGGGCCGGGCTCAGGAAACGGCTCCTGGGCTCAGGAATCGGCTCCGGGCACCCGTCAGCACCGCGGGCCAGGCTCCGGAAATGGGTCCTGGGCTCGGGAACCGGCTCCGGGCGCCCACCAGCACTGCGGGCCAGGCTCAGGAAACGGCTCCTGGGCTCGGGAACCGGCTCCGGGTGCCCGCCGGCACCGCGGGCCGGGACCCGTTGGCTGCTCCCGCGCGGCCCTTTGCGCTCCCGTGGGCTCCGCACGGACGCGCCGCGCGGCAGCCTGCCGTGTTCAGAGCACGTTTCTCAGCTGAAGCTCTCTATTTCCCAGCACCTTTTCCCCGGTGGCTGCTGGCTAAAATGGCTCAGTGAATGTTTATTCTCCAGGGACACCCAGCACAGAGAGCAGAGCCATCCCAGCAGGACCAGTAACGGCAGACTGGTCCACCCCTCCCGCCTTGGCCAGGGCTGCGCAGGTGTCACCTGCTCCCAATTGCCTGCCTAAGGGCACGGGCTTGGGCGTCCCTTTGGCACCTCGCTTCAGACCATTGTCGCTAGAGACGGGGTAGCCGGTTTTAACGGGAGGGATAACGCAAGCACAACAGAGGGAACGTCTTAACGGGTGGGATAACGCAAAGGCAACAAAGGGAAACGTTTCAACGGGTGGGATAACGCAAAGGCAACAAAGGGAAACGTTTCAACGGGTGGGATAAGGCAACCGCAACAAAGCGAAACGTTCCCGCCGTTTGTGACGGCAGGAGGTCGCGGCGCGGAGGGGCGGGGGAGCCGCGGCCGCTCCCGCGCTTTACGGCGGGCGCGCTTTGCGGCGCCAAGATGGCTGCCCCCAGGGCACCATGATCCCGCCGCGCCGCCCGCGGGCCCGCTCCCGGAGCCGCTCCCGGTGCAGGTCCCGCTCCCGGAGCCGTTGGGGGGATGTGGGGCGCCGTGGCGCGGCGCGGCGGCGGCTGGCGGGGTCTGGCGGCGGGCCGGCCGCCGCCCGCGGCCTGGAGCCAGGTGGTGTCGGAGGCCGAGAAGATCGTGGGCTACCCCACGTCCTTCATGAGCCTGCGGTGCCTGCTGAGCGACGAGCTGAGCAACATCGCCATGCAGGTGCGCAAGCTGGTGGGCACCAGGCACCCGCTGCTCGACACCGCCCGGTAAGCGCGGCCCCTTCCTCCCCCTCCATCCTCCTCCTCGGCGCGGGCCCGGAGGAGCCTTTATTTTATTTTACTTTACTTTACTTTACTTTACTTTACTTTACTTTACTTTACTTTATTTTACTTTATTTTACTTTATTTTATTTTATTCCTTTTTTTTTTTTTTTTTGGATGGAACTATGTTTGTCCCAACTGGACATCAAATGAGGTTACTAAAGCTGGGCTCTATGGTTCTGTCAAAAACAGTGTTTTCTTCCAACAGGTGTGAAGCAGACTCCCGCACTTGTTCGCGACAAATGCTCTGCTTTCCTCCGAAAGGATAAAACGTGCAACTGTGCAGTGCTTTTTTTCAGTGCTGCAATAACAGTGCAGTGTTTGAAAATAAGGTTGCTTTTTTGAGCTCCGTGTAAATCTAGTAGCCTTGATCTGGGTGGAAAAAAAAAAAAAAAGAGATAACTTCAAAACGTTAAATTTATTTAAGTGGTTTTTGTTTCTTTGTTTGTTTTTTAGAAGTAGGGATTTAGATGTTGGTTTCTTTTTCTGGAAGAAACAAGTCAACTTGTTAACAAAAGTGGGAAATAGTTGACCAGAAAATGCTTAGTGGAGAGCTTTTTTGTTGGGCGGAATTATGGCAGCTTTAGAAAAGTTTTTTTTAAAAAAAAATGTACCTGCCTTTGAGTCCTTTTTGACGCCTGTGTGGATGTAGTCATTATGTTATAGATGAGGCAAGACAATTTCTCATCTACATTTTATTAAAGTAAGCTGGATACAAAGGGTGACAGCGCTGGGGCGGCCTGGAGGTAATCATTCTCAGGCCCCAACCAAGTCCCCAAAGTCCTGGTATTTATATTGAATCCAGGTCCCGCCTTTGGTGTTTTTTCCGAAGGTTCCGTTGAGTCTGCGCTGTGTGTTGTTGATGWTGCTMRGTCGGAATGTGCTTGYRCCGGCTGTTTCTAGGTGGTCGTTATCTGCCTTCTGATGGTCGTTTTGGAGGAAGGCAGATAAGCCTTCCTCAGTGCCCTCTGTTTCATCCCATTGTATGCAAAATAGTTGGCTATCTYTTGGTCCCTRTCTAGGYACATAATCKCTTGGTMTCGCAMACTTGTTTCTMTGCAAGCAAAGMCTATTCATGGTTGGTTAACATCTCGTGGATCATTAACAAGATGTGGTTACTTCAACAAAATCCTTTGATAGCCTTAGTGAACAAACGTGTTTATTACAACTAGGGAACCCAAGCGTGACATCTTTGGGCTTGTGAGCTCCTGTCACCGTTGTACAAGGCTTTGGTGCTTGTTTTAAACCACATGTTAAAGGTTTAGGATTTGGTGGATAACTTGTGAATTTTAGGAGATGGATGGGGGCCTGGCACAGAGCTATGGCATTAAGTCTCTGGGCTGCCTTTATTTACTGGATAAAAGCTGAATCCTGTGCCTTTGCTTCTTATGTTCATACTTGGCTTTGCTGGTACTTCCGAAACCTTTGCTGCAAATGCGCTTCAATGGCCTTGCCTTTTTTACTATGCAAAGAATTCACTTTCTGCTGACAAGATTCAGTAAACCCATGGCAATGCATAAGTTGTGCCTGAAACTTGTTATATGACTGTAAACGTGATTTATCGTTAGTTGTGGGTCAGATCTGTGTCCTGAGTTAACCTAGCTGCTTAGGAAACAATTTTAATTTTTCAATACTGGATACAGAGATTTAAAATATATATTTTTGCCCATGCTTGTTAACTAACATAGATTGCCTCTTTGGGGTTCAAGCAAAGGATGTAAAGCAGGGGTTTCTAAAATATCCTTTTGGTAATTTCCTTGAAAATATCTCAAGTGATTGGTAGATTGGTCAACTCTAGTCTTTCAGCCTGTGAGTGCACATGTATTAAATACTCAGACACTCGGTGCTATTTTTTCCTTCTTTCAAGGAACACTAAAATTGAACTGGGAACAGAATTGTGATCTGACCACTGCTGGATCTGTCTGTTTGTACTCCTGTGAGTCTCTGTGTGATTCTTCAGAGCTTTCATTTGCTCTTCTCCAAAACAGGGTGTTTTCAGCACATGCTCATAGCAAACATTTGCATTTTTTCCTCCTCTCTTCAGGCTCCATTGGCCTAAAGGAAATTTCTTCAACAAATGAGCCTATTGCCTTCTTTCCAATTTGGAAGAAGATAAAGCTTCTCTCTCCTGTTTTCCTCTCCTCTCTAGACTAATAGTTATTCTTTATAACATAGGAAAGAATTGATTATTGGCCCACCAGTCTCCTTTCTCAACTACATACCGTGAATAACGTTTTCTTCATTATTTAATATCCCTTGAGAAGGGTATAGCTTAGTGCAGGTCATAAACACTAAATGTTATGGTCAATGCATCACTTTTATAATGCCACTAAAAACAAAAAAAGGGAATACTTCATATGTGTAAAATTATTATGGGATACCATTTAGTTCTAGTCATTTTATCATTAGCATATAGGGAGAATTATTGTATTTTCAGACTGTCAGAATTGTTTGTTGGCAATACATTCTTAAATAGGCAGAGATGCAGTTTTCCTGGATTATGACAGAAATAAAAAGCCTCACAGAGCAGAGAGGTTGTTCTGTTGCCGCCAGCTGCACGGAGCCCTTTGGCCATGTTAGGCTCTCAACACAGAGTGGGGTGTTGAAAATTGAATGCTTTTTGGTTAACGGTTTGAATGGAATAAAAATAGGAAAAAATAGAAAAAGAGAAAATTAGCAAGGTCAAATTGCCTCAGAATTAACCATCTAAACTCTGGAATGACACGTTCTTTCAGATTATTTTCATTGGGAAAACACACCTTCCCCTCTCCCCAACCAGCTGTATCCATATTTCTGGCCAGCAATCTTCCATTATATTGAACTTTTTTTTTTTTTTCCTCCTCCAGTCTGCTGTGTGTTTAAATAAATGTTGGTTAGCTTGGAGCTAACAGAGGATGAGGTGACCCAGCAGGAATTCTGCATTTTTCATCATCACCACCCAGCTCATTTGGCGTCTATAATTATGCAGGTGTGCAAAGAAAGCCGTATTGGGGGACTTATTTTTTTTTCCTGTTTTTTGTTTGTTTGTTTGCTTTTTGTTTTGTTTTTCCTAACTTCACATTTCTTATGTAGATGGAAGAAAGATACTTTTTTTAAAAAAATCATCAGATTATTGTTACTTGGGCTGTACAAAAGCTAATGGTAAACTAGAAAACAGCTGTGGGGGGCCAGGGGAACTTCTACAAGGGATTAGTTATGTAACATACTTATTTTGCATAAGTTTATAAATATTATATTAGTCTGATCCAGACACTCCATTGTACCTGGTTAGCCTTCGAATAGAGTATTGAGCAAGATGGTGGCTTCAGGATTTAAAGATACTTGTTCAGGCAAAGGGGCACCAGGAATTTGTATCGGATCAATCCCAATTGCGCGTCCCACCTGTCACTGATGCTCAAGGAAAAGCACAAAATGCCTCATTTGTACTGAAGAATGCTGCCGTCTGCAGGGTGCTAAGTTCTCGTGTGCGAAGCTGCAGCTATTTATTGTATTATTGTGTTGTCTTAATAAATATCTGGAAATCCCAAAGATAATTTGCCCTTCTTATGATGCCCTTGGATTCCTGACCTTTCAGTCTTCCTGCTAGTTTGGACCAGCCGAGTTTGGGAGCAGAGACCTTGTAGCTTGGGACGTGGCCGCGCGAGCTGCTCCCTCCCTGTGCCCCAGGAACTGCAAAGGCCACGTGTATTTCTGTATTAACAAGACGCTGCCCTTAAAGCTGCCCTTTTTCTAGTACTAACAACTGCTGTGGTCCTCTGAGTAGCTCTCTAGCAACTTGTTTTAAATGCTAACTTATTTTCTGGGCTAGCAGAATGAAGATGTCCATTTACTTCAGGGTGGCTAATGAGGTAACTTCCCTGGAAATAGCCGGCAGCTGGATCCTGCTAGTGACAAGCCAAGTGTCTGGTCAGTTTATAGGTACTGCCTGTAGCCTTCTCACAGGCAATAAAACTGATTTTAATCTTTTATGCTTTACTGAATTGCTGAATCTGTAAGTGACCTTGGAGACATGCAGTCAATTCCCTGCTGCTGGATCAGAAGTGAAAGCAAGTTTGTATTCACTATTTTTTGTTTTGCAAACTGTTGTAAGACTTTCTGGAAATATCCCTGTAGCGTGAAGATACATGTAGTGTTAGCTGTGAGAGAACCCTTGTGCAGTTTCTTGTGTTTGCTGTTGAATTTCCTGGAAGCACCATCCACCAAGGCTAACGTGCAGGATTCCTGTACAGAAAGTCTTAATCACTGCCAAAACACAGGAAAAATCCTTCTTGTTGTATTTGGTAGTAATTGCAAAGTTTGTGTGTGTGTGTGTATCTTTCAGCCTGTTTTGATAGGCTTTGAGTATTGACTTAACCTTCGTTATTTCATGTGTCTTGTACCGCTGGGGGCTGTTCCTGTATTGACTGTCAAAAGAATAATTCTTCAACACAAACAAAGCTGTTTTTCACTATTTTGTCTGAGTAGACAAAACAAGAGACAAAATTCTCTTTCATGGAGAAGTTAATCTTGGCTGGTAGAAGATAACAAAGAAGGGAGACCGTTTTGAGATTTGTACAGAACAAACTTTCAGTCTGTGCATCTGGATTCTTCTCTGTTCTTCCTCCGTGGCCTTCTCGGTGCTCTTCAGTTAACCCTCTTCAGTTAAAGCGCTGTGAAGTAGAGTTAGGGGCAAGAGGGACTCAATTGCACGGTGCGGTGGATCGAGGGCTGGCTGGATGGCAGAGCTCAGAGGGTGGTGATAAATGGGGCCGAGTCCAGTTGGAGGCCTGTGGCCAGTGGTGTCCCCCAGGGGTCAGTGCTGGGCCCAGTGCTGTTCAACTTGTTCATCAGTGACCTGGACGAGGGCACGGAATGCACCCTGAGCAAGTTTGCGGATGACACCAAGCTGGGTGGAGTGGCCGACACTCCGGAGGGCTGTGCTGCCATCCAGAGGGACCTGGACAGGC